CAATGTTTCGACAATATTTTGTACATTTGCTGTTATGTTAAACTTATATTAAAGTTTTTCTTCATTACCCATTCAAGCCGTTTCCAGCCATTATTAGTCTCAAAGTGGGTTCCTCGTCATCGAATTTGAATAATAAGATATATATATAAAATAAAAAATATATGCTTATATAACTTTTAATTAACTAAAACTTGTTAAATTATTCATTAAACTGCATTACTCCGTACTACAATTGTACTTTAAAATATCCTCTATTTCACTAACCCTTGTTTCCAACTTCTTCTTCAAATACACATTATTAGCTGCTGTACAGAAATCATTGGATAACACAAAGACATAGCCGTTGAGGTCAAATGCTAAATCGGTACTGTAACAGTATAAAAACGTTTTTCAGCTTCCACTATGCACAATAATACCAACACATTATGCACAGTTTACTCTTAATAGAACTGTATGTAAATATAGCAAGATGATTTTAGGCAAAATTCTAAGGTTTTAATAATGATTAAACAAAATTAGATTAACATTTCCAATAGGTTACTTTCTCAGAATTTCCACACCGAGAAAGATGGATATATTATATAGGTGTAGTTGCAAAAACCACCGCATAATACTGTTCGACAATAGCAAGATCTATGCGCTACAGGAACATACCACTCCTAAAGATCTAACCCTAACTTACATAACATGGGAATGCCAGCCTAAAAAATTCTAATCCAAACAGATATATATATATATACAGAAATGATTTAATTTCTGTAGTCACTTTCCTGCCACGAGTGATGTTGAAATCCATAGAGTAAAGCATATGAAATGCATGGTTTTTCACTTATTTTTGACAATTTATTGCAAAACTTGTCAGCAGTACATTCAAACTTAAATTTATATAACATCCATGCCTAAAGAAGAGTTCCATATTGGAACAGCATTTGTGATTTTTTTGTGTGGTTATTTTCACCTTTAGTTTACTTTATCTGTATTGTTTAACTTTCAAAGTTCCCTAAAATTTGTTCTTTTTTTTCCTTTATGTTCCAGATTTTTGTATTATTGTTTTGTTGGGGTTGTGTTCCAATATGTCGAGTTCTTCCCATGTTGTATTTGTTGTGTACTTTTCCTTATTGTTTTTATTTTTATTTTATGGATATTGTGTTGTAAATTTATCTGTGATTTTTTTTATATTTCTTTTAAATTTCTTTGTTGTGAAGAAGGTATCGTAATATATAACTCTTTCGCCAGCGATTTTTCAGATAAATATTTTTAGCTCAATGGATTTTGTTTTGATATATTTTTTCCAATGAAACTAACATGGCTGTCCCACTTCCACACGGGCTAGCGATCAATTATGCTTTCTGATTGGCCAATGTTTTATTCATTGTTATGAAAGCATGCAAGTACAGCTGCAGAAGTAAAAATGCTTCAATTATCATGATCTTGACAATGTTGTTGTTACATTTCACCCTCATACGACATGTATCAGGTCACATTATAACCTGCAAAACATTAAAAGAATATGAATTTATAGGGTGTGATCATAACAGCACAAGTTGAAACAAAAAATAGATTTCACCAAACTAGGAATGGTTTGTATCTCTGGACTGCAAATAAAATTAATTTATAAAAACAGATTACATAAAAAATAAAAGCAATAAAAAAACCTTTCAATTAGTATTTGCATAAATAGGTAACAGAGAACGAACAGAAACAAAAGCTGTGATGACCTGGACATAAGTATGCTGTGAAAATTTATAAAACTACAGAGAAGAGTCTGTTATATGTAATAACTTTACAAATTACTTTTACAAAAGTTACGAGTAAATTGTTCTCCAGTTTACTACTTTTAAAAACTTTACGCTAAAAATAATACAAAAGTGATTATGCATTTTGGATTTGGTAACAAACCTTGGAGATAAACGTGTGTTTAAATGTTCTTTCTCATCAGTGCCTGTAGAGATAGTTAAACAGTTAAAATATAACATATTCGAACCTGCAGCTTAATTATGCACATTATTAAGCCTCAACGGGAATTCTTTTCCTTTGGTCTATACCTTTCTTTTTAACTCTCAGTTCATCTGTAGTTTCTCGTTGTTTCTAAATCAGAGCTGTTATCATTGGCTGAAACATATGTGAATGTTTCTTTGGAGTGAAACTAACATACAAGTTGTTTCTTCCCATAAAACTAATATAACTTCTAACTTACAGTCAGTCAACATTGAAACAGTTATTCTACGACAAAATCCCTAATTCGTTGAGTACATTTTAACCCTATGTGAACTACTGATTTTACCTTACACTGATGATTTAGTGGCAGTTCGTGGTAAAGTAGAGTAAATACCAGATACAGTGTGGATACTGACAAAGATGTAGATATACATTTTAGAAATTCTAGAAATTTACAAATGCAGTAAGTAAACTGTACAATGGACAAAAGAGTTTTTATTCTACATGAGCATCATCTTGCACTCTGACTTGTCAGTCAGACTGATGCTGTCAATACACAGACATATCTTGAGTACACGTACTTTTGTAACACACCCGAGTTTTTGTGTACAACACACTTGCACATTTTATTCAAAGCTTGCCGTATTCCACATAGATACACAAAGTAAATTTGTAACTGTAGTCAACATTCCTTCTTCAATATGGGATCGGTCCATTGGGCTGATCTCAAATACATTTAGTTACCATTTTTAAATTACAAATGTCATAGATAACTAAATTAAGAAAGTCGGCAGATTAACCTAGTTTTGCACCACAGTCAATTTATTTTCCAAGGTATTAGTAATGACGTAAAAGGAAATACAAAACTTTCACACTTACAGCAAACTTACAGAGTAGTTTTGAGAACAACGAAGATCTAGCAGTTTGCCTTAAAAAAAATGTAATCCAAAAATAATCCCCGCTTCCCGAATTTTCCACATAATTATTTCTTGTTTGACTGATAAATAAGGAGTGAGAGATAATGAGCACTCAGATGATCGCAATCATATATATATATATATATATATATATACAACACTTGACAATGAGATAAAACTGCCAAGGTTACACCTGGCGAGTCACACACTGCATGGTGCAATTTGATGCACCCATAACATTACTTACTGGTCAGAAATTCGGGGTTTCGGCATTAGATGATTATCACATTAATAAACTATCAGCTAATCAACTCAGAAACTGGGCAAATATGCAGATTCCTCAGATCAAGGAAAAACCTTGATTTGGAAATATTTATTTATATTTTTTTTTACTCTGTTACAAGTTATTGTCCAAATTTTTGATACCTAATTGGACTTATTTAAAGTACTAATAACCCATAGCATATATTACATACTACTAGAGGGAAGGCAGCTAGTCATCACCACCCACTGCCAACTCTTGGGCTACTCTTTTACCAACAAATAGTGGAATTGACCGTCACATTATAACGCCCCCCACGGCTGAAAGGGCGAACATGTTTGGTATGACGTGGATTCGACCCCCGCGAACCTCAGATTGCGAATCGAGCGCCTTAGCCACTTGGCCATACTGGGCCAGTACAAACGGAAATATATGTGGTCAGTTACAACTTATTTTTGACACTCCTTAAAGATTTGTACATTTCTTTTACTGAATATATCATTAGAAATTTTTCAACAACACCTGGCCATTGATATAGTTCATAAACGTGGAAAAACAAATACATTAATACAAACGCAACATGACAGTTACAACTATGAAAAATACATCTTGTTGGACCAGCGAGAAGTTGCGATACAAATTATAGACACTAGTAATACTAAACTACTGCCGAAACATTTCCCGATTTGTTCTGTTTATGGGTTTCCTGGTAGTTGAACCACAATTTTTAATCAGTAGACATATCCTAGCAGTCACGTCCTACTTAACGTTTAGCAGTAAATGAAATGTAACTTAAAGTACCACATTAACAACGCTGAATTACTAACTGAAGTTTAAAGTCAGTACTGATGTTTCATGCTTCCAAGCTAGTGATAAGATACGATATAATTAATTGTATATATTCAGTAGTGAACTTATTAAGTTTTAATTTTAATTAATATTTAATAGGGGAATTCCGTACCTTTGTAGAGAGAACTTTTAACAATCTCTCTCTCTCTCTCTCTACGGTTCACACAATGTGAAAATGCGACAGCTTCAAAGGGCCTTTAGAAAAAAAAAATGTGTATTTTTCAAGACTAATTTTATGCCTGAAAATCTAAATTTATTTGTTTTGAAAAATTTCAACTCAAACTCAGTTTCTTTTCCCTACCGACATCAAGCTTCCACTTCCTCTTTTTTAACCAATATCTCATTTATAGGTCTAAGAGACCAATTAGTTACAAAAGAAAGATCAAAGTGCAATCAACAAGGAGTCTTACTAAATAGTTTCACATTTACCACAAAGACTTATCAGGATCCTCAGAGGTGTCCTAATCACGACTTACCAGGACCCTCAGAGGTGTCCTAATCACGACTTACCAGGTCCCTCAGAGGTGTCCTAATCACGACTTACCAGGTCCCTCACAGGTGTCCTAATCACGACTTACCAGGTCACTCACAGGTGTCCTAATCACGACTTACCAGGACCCTCACAGGTGTCCTAATCACGACTTACCAGGTCACTCACAGGTGTCCTAATCACGACTTACCAG